GCCGCCAGCGACGTTCTCAGAGGCTGCCAAGGACCATCTCAGGGGCCGCCGGGAAGCCTCTCAGGGGCCGCCAAAAACCCTCTCAGGGGCCGTCAGGAAGGTTATGAGGGGACGCCAGGAGGCGCCTTCGGGAGCCGCCAAAACAACCTTTCAGGGGCCGCCAAGAACCTTCTTGGGGGCCACCAAGGACCGTCTCAGGGACCGCCCAGAACCTTCTTTTTTTCTCTCTCTCTCTCTCTCTCTCTCTCTCTCTCTCTCTCTCTCTCTCTATATATATATATATATATATATGTCTCTCTCTCTCTTGGGCTGCCGAAAACCCTTTTTTTCTGGGGCCGCCAAAAACCGTTTAAGGGACCGCCAAGAAGCCCCCCAGGAGCCGCCGAGAAGCTTCTTATGGGGCCTCCGAGAACCCTCTTAGGGGCCGTGAAAAAAGGCCTCCTACGAGCTGCCAAGAACCGTTTTTCAGGGGCCGCAGCCTCTCATGGGGCCTCCAAGAACCCTCCTGGGAGACGCCAAGAACCCTCTCATGGGGCCGCCCAAAACGCTTTCAGAGGCAGCCCAGACTACTCTCAGGGGCCGCCGAAAACCCTCCCAGAGGCCGCTTAGCACCCTCTCAGGGACAGCCCATAACCCTCTCATACGCCGCCAAAAACCCTCTCAGGGGCCGCCGGAAGGCCTCTCAGGGGTCGCCAAGAACCCTCCCAAGGGCCGCCACGAGGCGTTTCAGGGGCCGCCAAACGAACCCCTGAGTTTCAGGGGACGCCCAATAACCTTCTTGGGGGGCGCCAAGAGGCGTCTTAGGGACCGCCAAACAAGCCTCTCAGGGGCCGCCAAGAATCTTCTTGGGGGCCGCCAAGAACACTCTTAGAGGCCGCCAAGTACCTTCCTGGGGGACGCCAAGAACCGAACCTTCTTGGGGGGCGCCAAGAACTTCCTGGGGGCGCCGAAAAAAAACAACAACAGCAACAGCAACAACAACAACAACAACAACAACAACAACAACAACAACAACAACAACAACAACAACAACAACAACAACAACAACAACAACAGCAACAACAACAAACAACACCACCACCACAACAACAACAACAACAACAACACCAACACCAACAACAACAACAAACAGCAACAACAACAACAACAACAACAGCAACAGCAACAGCAACAACAACAACAACAACAACAACAACACAACACAACAACAACAACACAACATCAGCAACAGCACAACAACAACAACAACAACAACAACACCAACAACAACAACAACAACAACAACAACAACAACAACAGCAACAACAACAACAACAACAACAACAACCACAACACCACAACAACAACAACAACAACAACAACAACAACAACAACAACAACAACAACAACAACAACAACAACAACAACAAAACAACACACCGAACGCTCAGTGTTCTCACCAGTGCCAGGGTTTTCATACGACGCCCGCCAATACCCCCACTTTGTGGGGGGGCCGGTTCAAGCTCTACCAAATTTCCAAACGACTCTTCGCCACCACCCACACCCAGCTTCCCGCCCTATGACGTTCGGACACTTCACTTCGTGGCATGCGGACGACCGTGGCTACTATTCACTGGCGCGACGACGGCGTGCGCGCGCGAAGAAAAAACGAATGTGTCCCGCATGGTATTATTTGACAGGGATGATGGCCCTGGCAGGTGCGCAACCGTTGTTGCAGAAGTTCGAAAAAGTTGCTCGCAAAAGCCCGTTTGACAGAAATGTTAAAAAAGTGTTGGGTTTCCTACGAATCCGCAAGAGCGCGCGGGATGAATTTTGACATTTTTTGTTGAAAAACCATTGGTTTTTTGATGTTTTTATGTTAAAATCGCTACGAACACTAAGGTTTTGGAAGGATTTCGTCTTGCGCGCGCGAATGTCCACTTTACCTTATTTTTTGCAAGGGATTCTTGAAGTTTGGTTATTTTAGAACAAGAAATTTCATTTTATAGTGTTTTTTGCAAGGGACAGCGGGGGGGAACAAAACAACCGGATCTTGATCACATCGAATTACCTGAGGCTTCCTCACGAAAATGATGAAAATGTAGCTGCGGCCTAGGCGGCGCAGGGGGGCCGTGCACCAGGGGGCCCAACAATAATTATTCTTTAGAATTAATAATGTTCAACAACATATAAACAACTCGGGTGCCGCCCAGAACCCTCTCAGGGGACGGCAAGGACCCCCTCAAGGGCAGCCAAGAACCCTCCCAGGGGCCGCCAAAAATCCTTTCAGGGGCCGCCAAGAACTCCCAGGGGCCGCCAATCAACCTCTCAGGGGTCGCAAACAACCCTCTCAGGGGCCGCCAAGAAGCCTCTCAGGGGCCGCCCAAAAGCTTTTCACGGGCCGCCAACAACCTTCGCACGGCCGCCAAAAAACCTTCTTGGGGGCCGCCGAGAACTTTCTTGGGGGCCGCCCAGAACCCCCTCTGGTGGGGCGCCAAGAACCTTCTTGGGGGCTGCCAAGAACGCTCCCAAGGGCCGCCACGAAGCCTCTCAGGGGCCGCCAAAAAAACCTTCCCAAGGGCTGCCAAGAACGCTCCCAAGGGCCGCCACGAAGCCTCTCAGGGGCCGCCAAAAAAACCTTCCCAAGGGCCGCCAAGAAGCCTCTCAGGGGCCGCCAAGAACCCTCGCAGGGGCCGCCACGAACCTTCTTGGCGGCCGCCGAGAACCATCCCAGAAGTTCCATACACTGAGAAAGCACTTCGAACTGCCGCCCGGGAGCGAGTCGTTCAACCGGGGAACGAGTTTTCCTCCGCTTGAGTGGGCCCCCACCCCTGGTTCAAGCCCCCCGCCTCCTGCAATGGACCCCCACTCCCTGGTTCGACCTCCCCCCCTTAAGAGAGGGGGGGGGCCCACCCGCGGTTCGAACCCTCCTGCAATTCAGGCCCCCCCACAGGTTCGAATCACCCCCCCTCCTTGAGCGGGGGGGGGGGCCTGTTCGAATCCCTCCGCCGCCTTGAGAGGGGGTGGGGTGAGCCCCACTCGCTCCCGGTTCGAACTGAGAGATGGGGGGCCCTACGTGCCTCTGGTTCGAAACCTCCTGCAATTCAGGGCCCCCCCCCCGTCTGGAATCCCGTCTTCAATTGACGGGGGGGGGGGCACGGCTCGAACCACCGAGGAGGGTTGGGGTGGGCGCCCCCCCCCCGGTTCGAACCCCCCCTGTAATTAAGGGCCCCAGACCCCTGGAACACCGAGAGATGGGAGGGGGCCACCCCCGGTGCGAACCCCCCCCCCACCAAACCCCCCCTTTGCAATTCAGAGGCGGGTGCTGGTTCGACCCTCCCGCTTCTCAGCGTCCACCGAACGCGCTCTTTGCTACCTTCCGAAAGCCAGATGTTCGCTTTAGACGTCCCCACAATCTGGGCGCCAACAGGCAAGTGTCCTACCCCCTGGCGCCCCCCCCCTTCCTCTCTGGGTGCCCAAGCGATTCGCCTTCTCCGTGGCGGCCCGGAGCAAAAACGCTTCCACCTCCAAAGCAAGCTTTTCGCGTGAGATATCCCAACATGCTGGGCGCCAACGGCAAATGCCCTACCCCGTGGTCGCTCCCCATGTTGGTGCCCAAGTGATGTGCTCCCTACATTTCGAGCACCACGCGGCCATGGAAAAAGACGCGTTACATCCGTCATACAAACGAGTCACTGGAGACACCCCAACAATCTGGGCACGAACCGGTAAGTGACCTACCCCCAGGCGGCTCTCCCTTGTGCTGCCCAAGTGCTGTGCCTGCCACATCGCGACGATACTGACCGTGAGATAGAAGAGGAGGGAGGAGGCGGGAGTGAGCAGGCGGAGGCGCGACACGGATAACAATAATACACGACATAGAATCTGGGGAATCATCTCCGCAACATCCTCCACGAGACGCGCAACTGCCTACACAAGGATCCAGTATGACCGTCGGGCACTCGCTCCGCGCTAGTTCGACGGAAGCTGGCAACAATCATACTGGCCAAATCTGTTGGGACATCGTTGCGAATTGACTTCCATGTCGTCCAGCGCCCCCATCTTAAATCGGTTTCGGCTCGAACGTCCCCACGATGCGCTCTTCAACTGGCCACGGCGCGCAGGTGACGCTGGCGGTGTGCTGCCCGCGCCGAGGCGGCAACGCCGCTTGGACGACCTTCGGCCATGGTGCGGCAGTTCGGCCGGACTGCCGAAACCGCGCGCTTTCTTCGGCGGTGGACAAGCCTCCCTTCAGCAGACCTCCCCTCAGTGAAAACGGCCTGGGACCGAAACCGACGGCCCTGGACCCGCCAAAAAATGACGGCCGCGACGCCCTCTCGCGAACCGCAAACGGCCAAGTCTTTAATCGACGTGCCAGGGTAGGAGGTAAAACAGGGCTGGGATCGGGATACATCGCTCCAGAGCGTTCCGGAGCGCTCTCAGAGCGTTCCAGAACGCTCTGGAGCGGCCGCGGCGCCCAACACACCCTCCAAACCCGCCGATTCTCAGAGATTTCGAGTTATCCCGATCCGATTTTGTCCCGATCTTCGCGTCGTGGGGCCCCGGCCTGGCGTGTGGCTGGCGCGAGGAGGAGGAGGAGGGAGGAGGAGGAGGAGGAGGAGGAGGAGGAGGAGGAGGAGGAGGAGGAGGAGGGACGCGTGCTCGTGCCAGAGGCCCCGTGCTCTGGGCGGGTGCGGCCGTCCGGCCCCCCTCTCTCGGCGATCCGTGGGCGGTCGTGGGGGCCGCTCCCCCGGGCCAGCCCCCTGGTGCTTCTGCCTCGGGCCTCCCCCTCCCCCTCCCCCTCCCCCCCTCCCCCTCCCCCTCCCCCTCCCCCTCCTCCTCCTCCTCCTCCTCCTCCCTCCTCCTCCTCCTCCTCCTCCTCCTCCTCCTCCCCCCTCCCCCCCTCCCCTCCCCCCCCAGGAGCGCCCTCGGCACGCGGCCTCGCGCGAGAGCGTAGGAGAGCCTCGAGCCTCGAGCCTCTCGAACCCCGAGCCCCGAGCCCCCCCCCCCCCAGACGCTGCCCCGGAAGTCCGCCACCATGGCCGAGAGGTGCGCGTCGTCGGCCTCCCGCTCGGAGGGCTCCAGTGCCGCGGGAGGCTTCCTCCAGATCTGGAACGGGTAGGTGAAGTTGCACCCGTCGTCGTCGATCGCCGACGGGGGCCCCGCGGGGCCGATCACGGCCTCCTGCGAATGGCTCGAGGAAGAAGAGCAAGCACACACACACAAGAGCTTTGGCAGGCCCGCGCGGAATTCTCGGATCGGCTCGGTGGCGACATCCGAGCCCTGACCCCTCCAGCCGAGGCGAGCGAACGTTCGACGAATTCCGAACCCTGCCCCCGCCGCCCACGGCGGTGCCTGAATCGTTGATCGGCGAGGGTAGGGTTCGGAGTTCGCCGCCGATCGGCGCTGAACCCCTCCTCCCTGGCGCACGGAGCGCGCCAGGGGCCGCCCTGGAGGCGCCGCCGGGGGGGGGCAGGATCCAAGCAATTCACGCGGAGCTCCGAAAGTTCATGAGTACGCCGCTTTTTCTTCCTCGGATTGTACAGGAGCCTGGAGCCTGGGAACTGGGTCCCGACCCCGTAGCGGTCGTTCTGCTCCCAGTGCCAGTCGATGTGGGTGCCGAGGTTGTAGCCCGACACTTCCACCAGCTGCGACAGGTCGTCCACTGGCTCGGGGAGCTCCCTGGACTCGTAGGAGATGGTGCAGCCGAGGTCTGGGTCACCGTCGCCAGCGACCGTGCCCACGTCGACCAGGGGTTTCTCTGAGATCCAGACGTCGTAGCGCCACTGGCACCGCTGAAGCTGAAGACTGGAGAAGTCGTCTTCGATCGCCATCCACCACTTGGCCACGTTGCCCAGGGCCCCCGCGCGATACGGATTGCCTAGACGTCCCATCCTGCAGCCACACCCCTTGGTCACTGTGACGTAATGCCCTGGCCGGAAGAGGCCGGCTGGCACCAAGCTGCGAAGGGGCGCCTCATCTTTAACTTCGTCAGGGGATGCCAAGAGAAAACGGCCTGCTACGACATCCAATATTCCAAACTCCCAGTGGGCTGGATGCGCATCGCAATAACCCCCGTTGATGAACTTGTTCACGTATTTGTTGACGTACGTCTGGTCTGTTTTCCATGAGAGCACCTCGACCTCGTTACGCTGCAACATGGCCATGGCCTTCTCCCGGAATGTCGCTGCTGCACCCTCATCCAACTTATGTGCCTCCGTTGCAAATACCTCTTCGCTCAGATCGAAGAGCACCGGCAATGCATGTGTTGCGAGTGCAGTGCGCGGCACTTTAGCAAATGCGATCATGGAGAAACCCTCCTGTCTGGGCAACTGAACGAAATTGAGCGTTGAGTCGCTTGGCATGCGGAGATCACCGAAATGTGCCGGGACGTTGTTGAAATGTTCCTCCAACCCCCTGTACATCTCGTCGTCAACGACAAGCTTCATGCCTGTAATGACCGAATCGCCACAGCCACGACAAATCAGGAAACGCGCCTTGTGCGAGACAGTGCTTGTGGGCTGGAAGCCCAGCGCGCCCAAAGCCTTCAACTGCTGTCTGTCTGAGGCGACCGCGAAATCTGTAATTGGTGCCACCTCCGCGAGCGCCTCAGCCCTCTGGATGAGCTCCTTTGTGACCCCTGGCGTCCCCAAGGACAAGGCTTCGCGAAGGACCTTCGCTGCCAGAGAGGGCCTTTCCTCCGCATACCGCTCATACACCTTTGTCAGGAGGCCTGCGTCAAGATCTTTCAAAGATACACCAGCTGCAACCGACGCCTCCCTCATGAAGGTACCAGCCGTGCCAGAGAGCGTCCAGGCCGTTCCAAGCGCATTGCAAGTTCCATAGCTCCGCAAGAGCGTTGCATCCCTCTTCGTTGACTGCGCTTGCGCGATCATTTCACTTTGCTGACCCTGCTCCTGCTGCAATTGCAGCGACGTCTTTGCGAGCCTCACGATGGAGGACAGCGTGCTGATTGTCAGAGTCACGTACAGCAAAGAAGGATCCGCCTGGCCGCCAGGACTTGCGAGCGACACGCAATCGTTTACCAAACGCAGGGCTGAATTGACAATGCTGAGGACCTCAATGGCGATATCAAAGCCCTCGGCACTCTTGCCCGTCACAAGGTTGTAAAGACTCTCAAGGATGAAGTTCAATTGCACAACAATGTCGACAACTGCGGCATTCTGCAGAGTAATCGCAATCGCAGTGGTCGCCGTCCACATCGTCCCGATCCCTTTGATCATTGTCTTCCATGTGAAGCTTGACATGCCACTCGGAACCTGCGGGCCCCACCACCACCACCACCACCACCATCACCACCACCACCACCACAACCACCACCACCACCACCACCACCACCACCACCACCACCACCACCTCCGTTCCCCCTTTCTCCTCCACCCTCCTCTTCCACTCCTCTTTCCCGGGAGAGGGGTGAGAAAGGTGGTGGTGGTGTATATTTTGGAGCCCCGTAGAACCTCCCACTTGTTGGTAGCAAGCTGCCCGAGGCCCGCTAAGGAACTCATGAGCACGTTGCCCCTCTTGATTTGGGCATCCAGGTCATCCAACACCGCAGAGGCCTTAGTGGGATCAATCACGCCGGTCAATACCCCACCTGTGAGGTCGGAGATGAGATGGAAGCCTGCGGACATGAGCTCCTCCTGCGCCTCCTCAATCTGCTTGCTCAGCTTGTCCACGTTAGCCTGGATAACGATCTCACCGCTCGCGGCGGAGTGGCACGCGGACTGCACCGCTGCCGCCATTGCATGCCGCAAGTGGCTGTTCACCACCTGAAGCGACTTCGATATCCGTGCCACGTCGGACGCTACCGCCTTTGACGCCGTCGCGTTGGCTGTGCCTTCACGGCCGAGCTTCCCGTCAGAGATGGTCAGAGGGTGGACTTTCTCTGGCACCTGCGCCCCAGTGAACTCCACGAACGCCTCGATGGCACGGGTGAGCAGATCGGCCTGCACCTCAAGGGATCGCACCGAAAAGCAAGCGTCAGCGCGCTCGGCAAAGATTTGCTCCTGGATCGTCACGAGATCCGTGCGCGTGCCCTCCATGCGCGAGATGCGCACCGCATGCAGAACGACGTTCGCGATGTTGGCGAGCGCCGAAAGCCCGACAGCGGTGCCGAGGAAGATGGGGTCCACAGTCCCCGCCGTAGCGGACAAGGCCAAGACGCTAGACTGTTTTGCCCCACGACCGCCTGCAAGGCGGGAGCCCTTGATGGTTTCTGACCTGTGCAGCTCGAGTGTCTCCTGAACCCGCCACGCCTCCGCGGAGCAGGAGAAGGTCGAGGTGATACGGAGGAGGAGGTGGAGGGGGTGGAGGAGAGCGACAAAGAGGAAATTTGAACAAGAACGAGCAGCATGAGCACAAACAGTCGGATGTCCGACGGGATTACGTGGATCTTCGCTGGACCCTTCTGCCTGACGCGCGGAGAACGCCAGAGGCGCCGCCAAGGGGAGCCCAACGCCGTCCCAAGAAATCCGCGCGGATTCCCAGAATCGTGTTTGCACTACTGTCAGCTGTCTTCGTCCAGAGGCGGCGGAGGGGCCAAGGAACACAAAAATAAAGGGGCGCCGTCAAAGGGGTCCAGAGCAGATCCGAGAAATCCACCAAGCACTCCGACGTGTATGTGTGTGGTGTGTTGTGTGTGTGTCGTGTTGTGTTGTGCTGTGTTGTGATGTGCTTGCGCTTGCGCTTGTGTTTGTGAGTGTGCTTGTGTTGTGTTGTGCTGTGTTGTGTTGTGATGTGCTGTGTGTTGTGTGTTGTGTGTTGTGTGTTGGGTGCTGTGTGCTGTGTGTTGTGTGTTGTGTGTTGTGTGGTGTGGTGTGTGGTGTGTGTTGTGGGTTGTGGGTTGTGTGCTGTGTGTGATGTGTGCTGTGTGCTGTGTTGCGTGTTGTGTGTTGTGTGTTGTGTGGTGTGCGGTGTGTGGTGTGTTGTGTGTTGTGTGGTGTGTGGTGTGTGTTGTGTGCTGTGTGCTGTGTATTGTGTGCTGTGTGCTGTGTTGTGTGTTGTGTGTTGTGTGTTGGGTGGTTGGTGGTGTGTGGTGTGTGGTGTGTGCTGTGTTGTGTGGTGTGTTCTGTGTGTTGTGTGTTGTGTATTTGGCGTTGTGTGTTGGGCGTTGTGTGCTGTGTGGTGTGTGTCATGTGCTGTGTGTTGTGTGTTGTGGTGTGGTATGTGTTGTGTGTGGTGTGTTGGGTGGTGGGTGGTGTGGTGTGTCTTGTGTGTTGTGTTGTGTCTTGGGCGTTGTGTGTTGTGCGTTGTGTGTTGTGTGTTGTGTGTTGTGTGCTGTGTGCTGTGGTGTGTGTTGTGTGGTGTGTGTGTGTGTTCTGTGCTGTGTGTTGTGTGTTGTGTGGTGTGTTGTGTGTTATGTGCTGTGTGATGTGGGTTGTGTGTTGTGTGTTATGTGCTGTGTGCTGTGTATTGGGCGTTGTGTGTTGGGCGTTGTGTGTTGTGTGTTGTGTGCTGTGGGTTGTGTGCTGTGTGTTGTGTTGTGCGTTATGTGTTGTGTGTTGTGTGTTGTGCGTTGTGTGTTGGGAGGTGTGGTGTGTCTGGTGTGTTGTGTGTTGTGTCTTTGCGTTGTGTGTTGGGCGTTGTGTGTTGTGTGTTGTGTGTTGTGTGCTGTGTGTTGTAGTGTGTGTTGTGTGGTGTGTGTGTGTGTTCTGTGTTGTGTGTTGTGTTGTGTGGTATGCTGTGTGGTATGTGCTGTGTGGTGTGTGTTGTGTGTTATGTGCTGTGTGGTGTGTGTTGTTTGTTGTGTGCTGTGCGTTGTGTGTTGTGTGTTGTGTGTTGTGTGTCGTGTAGTGTGCTGTGTGTTGTGTGTGTTGTGTGTTGCGTGGTGTGTGATGTGTGGTGTGTGGTGTGTGTGGTGTGTGGTGTGTGTAAGTGTAAGTGTAAATGTAAGTGAAAGTGTAAGTGTAAGTGAAAGCGAAAGTGAAAGTGTAAGTGTGTGTGTGTCCTTACGCCGGTTGTTTGTCGTCGAAGTGGGGCGGGAAGAGCCTGGGATCCCGACCCCTTCCACAAGTCCAGGTTGTCATCTCGGGAAATGGTTCGACATTCCTGGGGCTAGGAAACGAGCTCTGGAGTCCGAGAACGCCCAAAGAGCAGCCGTCGCTATTTCACTGCGCCGCCCCGATGGGCACCACGTGCCTATCCACAGACATCGGGCCTGGCACTGCCACAAACTCCTCTGACGGGGGAGGTGGGAGGAAGGCGATGAGGGCGGAGAGAGGGGGAGAGGAGGAGGAGGAGGAGGAGCACCAGCAGCAGGAGGAGAAGGAACATTTGGATCACTTGCGCAGCACAGCGTGCACGAGGGTAGGAAGAGGAGGACGACGACGACGAGGAGGAGCAGGTGGAGGCGGAAGGCGGGCGAGGAGCACGAGGATGAGGGGGTGGAGTGCCAGGAGGAGGAGGAGGAGGAGGTGGTCGAGGAGGAGAGAGACGAGGAGCACGAGGAGGGTGGAGGGCACCAGGAGGGAGGCCTCCGCGCCCCCGATCAGCAGCAGCAGAGCGAGGGCGGCCGCGAGCGGGGGATGCGGCGAGCGGCGCCCCATGGCGCGCCCCGCTGGGTTTTGGCAGGCCACGTCGTTTTCTGTGTCAGAAAAGGTGCGACCCCCGATACGCTCTTGTCCAGGGGCTGCGAGCCCAGGGGGGCTGCACGAGGGGAGGCGGAGGACGAGGAGGAGGAGGAGGAGAGGAGGAGGAGGAGGAGGAGGAGGAGGAGGAGGAGGAGGAGGAGGAGGAGGAGGAGGAAGAGGGGGGCGCGGAGAGGTTCATAGGGAAAGCTGAGCCGGAGGAGGGGGAGGAGCGAGGGAGTGAGAGCAAGGGGGAGGGTGGAGGGAGGAGAGGAGAGGAGAGGAGGGGAGAGGAAAGAAGAGAGCCGTTTTGGGCGGGACGTCCGCCCGGGCGCGCGGGGTACTGGCGCCCGCTGCGTCCGCCTCCTGCGGCGGGAGGGGGCGCGTGCAATTGGCCGGGGACGAACACCACCCCGCCTGGAGCGGTCGGAGAGGGATCCCGACTCGAGAGCAGAGACGGCGAGACGTGACGAGGGCGAGACTCGCACCCCCGTGCAGAGAGAGAGAGAGAGAGAGAGAGAGGTGCCGGCTCGAAGCGCGCTCGGCGTGCGCGCCACGGAGCCCTGGGAAGCGACGGCGCCGCCTCGGGGCCCCCCCCCCTGGCGGCCAAGTGCCAGGTCTGCAGGACCTGCGTGCCAGGTGCTCTCGCAGGGCACGAGGCGCGCAGGGCTGGAGGCAGATGGCACCGGTGCGCCAGCGGCGGGCAGCAGGGCGCGCCTGGAGGCGTTCCCGGGGAGTGGCCGCAGGGAGGGCAGGCGCGCGGAGGGCCTTGTGGGAGGTCGTTGCGGGCGGACTGTGCTCCTCGGAGGCCGTCGAGAAGGGGTCATGAACCGATGCCGGATGTTGCTCAGCGCGAGTGCGAGGCTGGAAGCACGCTGCTGCAGCGCCGTGGTACTCGCTCAGCGCGAATGCGGCCCCATCCTCCGGTCGGCACGCTGCACTGGGATCGATCGGGCACCTAGACCCTGGTGGGCTAGGGCCCTCTGTCCCCGTTCCCAGGTGGGGCGGGGGATCTGCCCAGTGGCAGGAAGCATTGCGTCGGGGGGTTGGGTGCGCAGCGGCACTGACCAGACCAGTGGGTTGAAGCGACAGAGCAGGCCCTTGGGGTGCAGTGCGCGACCCCTCGCCTACCACGCGCAGATCCTCTCCCAGGCGGACAGCGTAACAGGCGCAAATGTGCCCTGGGGTGTGGCCGTCGGGGGGGACAGGGGGTGTCAGTGCTGCCTCCCGTGTGGTCCATCCATGTGCTGTTCTGCGTGGGTCGCAGGTGGATTGCCTTCGGTGGGGTTCTGGCCTCCACCTCCTGGGCCTGAGTCGTCGCGTGCCTGCCTGGGCGTGGAGATGGGCCCTCGCCGTCCGCGTCGCAGCCGCCGCCGTCGTGGCTACCTGGTGAGTGGGGGAGATCGTCTTCATCGTTTTCGACGGCCCACCCCCCAGGCCGCGCGGGTCCTCCTCCTCCTCCTCCTCCTCCTCCTCCTCCTCCTCCTCCTCCTCCTCCTCCTCCTCCTCGTCATGTTCGTCATCGTATCCTTGCCCTGGTGGGCCCTGGCGTGGGGCGGGTCGCCGGGCGGGCCTGGTGGCTCGTTCCCGCCGCCCCCGCGCGAAGAGCAGGCCGGCTGTCATCCGATGCAGTTCTGGCCCGGCGTATCTCCAGCTCGTCCGCCGGTAAGCAGCCGCGAGGGTTTGTCTCCACGTGGCCGCATCGATGCCGTCCTGTGGTATGGAATGCGCGGGGGCTTCCGTTGTTGCCACCTCGCCGGCGCAACGGTTGAAGGCTTCGGCGATTGGTGAGGTACGGCCTTCGTTGATCCCTTGATCGCAGAGGTGGCCTCCGACTGAGTGAGCCTTGAACGTGTCGGGCTTGGCTGTGACCACCCGATGGATTCGTTGGTAGAGGTAGACCTGGGAGCCCTTGGCTTGCGGGGGCTTGCCTTCGAGGCAAGCCTCGAACCCGTCGACGACGGCCTGGTTCTCGAAGAAGACGCGGGTGGGTCTCTCAGCCGTGGCGCCGAGGTGCAGGAGCGCCAGTGTTTCAGCTCGTTGTGCCAGCTGCGCCAGGCCGTGGACTCGGGCGGCGTGGTTCAGCCAGTGCCCTGGTCTGCACTGCACGCCGAACCCCGCGCGCAGTCGGCGGCTGCGTAGGCCCGCCTAGCTCCCGTGGCGGAGTCGGCGCACTCCTCGAAGTGGTCCTGCCCATGACTTGCATGGCCCGTCGGCGGCGTTTCGTACAGGGCAGGGGTTTCATAGGAGGGGGGCATGCTGGGCGCATGGTGCAGGGTTGTGAGCGTGGCCATTTTGAGCGGTGGACGTGGCCATTTTTTGAGCAGGGACCAACCGTCCTGGCATTTCGATAGGCCTACCACGACATGTTCTGGGAACCCCAGAATGTTTCAATAACGAACAGTGTTCTTATGACATAAGCCCGACGTGTTAAACAAGATAACCTCCGCCCGAAATGTTAGAAGAACATGTCGTGCAGACCGCGAACAGTTCTTAGAACACTATGTGGTGGGCCTACAGGCGAGCCAGGACGCTTCGCCGCTGCTGGCAACTTGACCTCCAGAACCTGCCCCTGGAACCGAGCGGGGGTATTCGCGCGGCCGTCGTTGCCCCCAGGGAGCGTGCTCGTGCATCCTCGGAGGGCGCGCCCTGGCGCGCCAAAAAAGGGCCGCGTACTCTGTTCGCGACGAGCCAGCCTGCGCTGCTTGTTTTAGCCGCGCGTCGGCGTTGCTGAGGCCGAGGGCCGACGCGACTTCCCCGAAATGAGGCCGATTGTACTTGCGGCACATATGGGCGATTTCGGAAACCCTGAACCAAAAGAGTTGTCACCTCTTGCGGACGCATATTTGATTTCCGCCGCCCTACCGCCAGCCTTCCGCCGGCGGAGGCGGCATCGAATTACTTCCGCCGACCCACCGCCGCCCTTCCGCCGAGGAAGAGATAACAACTCCTTCGGCCCTCGAAGGCAAGGCCCTCTCTGGAACGCCCCATATGGTGTCTTCGCACTGCCTTGGGTATGAGCAGGGGCGGACGGGTGACCTGGGGGGGGGTTCGCGGGGAGGCGCCCCTCGACACCACAGATCGGCGGGCGCGCGCGATGGCCGTCAGTTCGCGCGGGCAACAAAACGCAACATCCGGGGGGCGCATCGCGACGAGGATGCATGTGCATATTCCTGCGGCCGCCTGCGTGGCTGGACCTTCCATCTCGCGGGCAGCGTTGGCGAACCGCTACCGAAAGCAGGGGCTCAGCAAACGCCACCGTAGCCGCTCGTCCAGCGAGACGCGGACCACAATACCTACGGAGGGCGGGAGGGGGGAGGCGCGGAAGAGGAGCCGGAAAAAACAGGAGAAGCAGGAGCGGGAAAGGGTGGACGCAGGGCGGAATAGGGAAGTGGAACGAACGGGTGGGGGGAACGGAACGGACAGGGCGGAGGTGGGACGGGGAGAATCTCGAGAGCAACTCGCGAACGGAAATGAGCGAAAAGCAGGGGACCAATCGGGAATCGCGCGCCTTCTGGCTGGTGTGGGACCAGAGCTGCGCGCCGCAGAAGGACGAGGAGGAGGAGAAGGAGGAGGAGGAGGAGGAGGAGAAGGAGGAGAGGGAAGGTGGAGGAGGAGGACGAGGAGGAAGGAGGAAAAGGAGGGGGAGGAGGGAGGGGTGAAGGAGGAGGAGGGGGGATGGGCGGAAGGAGGAGGAGGAGGAGGGGGGGGCGAACCATCGCGCCCACCACAAGGGACGAATCCCGAGTGGTGGGTCTAAGTCAAGTAGCCCCCGCGGGGCACGAGCGCGCCAGGGGGAGGAGAGAAAGAAAAGGGGGGGCCCGCCTCATCCCGCGGGTCGCGGCGCCTTCACGCCGAGCGCCGACGCGCCGATGGGGAAGTGGGCGCATGCGGGGGCGGGCGCAGGCGACGACGCGACGGGGGGCAGGGGCCAAACAAAACTTAATCAGAACTGTCCTCGCCCCCTCTGGAGGGGATCACGCGAGGGCACGCCGCGGGAGAGGAGGCAGCGGCGCGATCACCTTCGCGCGCAGCCCCAGGGGCGGCGCCCGAGGACGCGGGGGCACGGTTAATCGGCGCGCCCTCGCAGCCGAGGAGGTTCGCGCCTGTAGTAGGATTGGGCCCTCGCTCCGCTCTCCTTATGCCCATGCGTTGATTCGCACGGGCAGGGGCCACTGGAATCGGCCCCTTACAGGGCACACACGGGGTCCCCGAAGCGGGCGGGGACCCCATGGGTGCAGCACCGCCGACACACAAAAAAAGACGCCCAACCTTAAAACGGTCATGACCGAGGTCCCGCATGGGCCCCAGAGAGTCACCGACAGGCGCGGGGGGGGGCCGCCTCCAGACACCCGAGGGCCTCGGGGTCGGGGGCGAGCTTCGCTGCAGCTTCGCGCGCCACGCGCAGAGCTTGGCTTCGAGCCACGGCGAGAGAAGACCCGCGCGCTAGGAACCACTCCATGGTGGCCGTCTTCTGGAGAGCCGTGGGATTACAATCACGAGTGGGCCCATTAGTGAGGAGGGCCTTGAGGGGGGCGGGAGTGCGAGCAAATCGGCCACAGTGCTGGCGCCTCCACTCACCTCTGGCCTCCGACCTCCAGAGACAGCGACAGGTGATCTGCGCCTTGGGGACCGCAAAACAAAACTCCGCCAAACGCAACTTCTCGGGCAGATCACCCGTCCACTCGCCACTCGCAAGCAGCTCCAGGGAGGCCCAAGCTAAAACAATTAGCGCTGATTTGTGGCATTTGAATTCCCCCGCCAAGGCCTCAGAGAATCCTGCCGAATTTGAATGGGGCGCCACTCCAATCCAAGCCTGGCGAAGAAATCAGCCCACAGGCTGCCAGCGCAAAAACGCAGGCTCGACCCTTTTTTCCAAAACCTCGTCTAGAGAGAGGCGCGCCGACTGCCAGAAGAAGAAAGAGAGAGAGAGAGAGAGAGAGAGAGAGAGAGAGAGAGAGAGAGAGAGAGAGAGAGAGAGAGAGAGAGAGAGAGAGAGAGAGAGAGAGAGAGAGAGAGAGAGAGATAGATAGAGAGAGAGAGAGAGAGAGAGAGAGAGAGAGAGAGAGAGAGAGAGAGAG